TAGTAGTTGTGAGACCCGTATATTATACGGGTTGGAAAAAAATTAAATATAAAGGTTTAAACAAAAATTTATTTAAATTTGAAATTTTAGATTTGAAATTTAATATTTAATATTTAAATTTAAATGGAAACGCATTAAATACTATATGAGTTGTAATATTTTAATTTATTGGTTATTTTCAATTAAGGAAATTATTAATTGAGGTGTTAATATAAGGTGCAAATGAGAAAATGATAAATGGAAAAAATATTTATTCAAAAATACCAAAAAATGACATGTGTCCAAGTTAAAGAGAGAGTGAAATGTGGCAAAATTATTTTTTATTTATTAGAGAGGATATATATATATATATATATATATATATATATATATATATATATATATATATCAAATTGGTCGGCTGACCCCACACAACTCATCCATGAAACTTCCACCAACCGTGCAACACTCGTGTTTGCTAACCATACATAACCCTAGACCCTATAGACATTCAAATATTTGATCCTACCCTAAGCCCATCATCAAACAAGAACAAGAAATAAGGTCAAACCAAACATTCTCATGCTATAAGATCTAAGTTATGTATAACCATGATGCATACACTAAGCAACTACAAGAATGATGTCAATTCTATTAGAGAAGAACCCTAGGCTACCAGGCATCATATAATCAGGAAAATCTATCATGCAAAACCTGAAGACCCCTAGCCTGTCACTAGCATGTTGTTTTAACATATCACAATATCAGACAACAATATGGTATTTTGGGGTCTACTTACTAGCTCCCGCTAATCGTACACATCGCATCCTCCTTGATTATTTTGGAAACCATTTTAAAATCTTTTCCTTAGTATGAGACTGGATTCACACAAGTGTTCCTCCAATTCACTCAAACCAAGACTCTAATACCAGCTTGTAACATCCATAAAATTCATGAAAATTTTAAACTTTTAAACAACCCAAAAACCATCATTGTTTACTTATTTTTTTTCAAAATAAGTTGAATATTAAAGAAATCCAAAAATCATAATGCAAAACATGAGGAGGTGCACGATCATGCTTTCACCTTCCCATGATCCTCTGAGGTACCTAAAACATTATCCAAACTTGTAAGCCTAAAGCTACATGAGTTTCCCCTAAAATTCCAATACATAAAAAATAGCACAAATACAAAACTACATACTATGGGTTAGAATGCCACCATACTATAGGTCCAATCAACCATCGGGTTGGAATACCCCAGGCCCCTCCCTCATTGGGTTGGAATAATCATCATCAGGATGGAATACCCTAGGCCCCCAACCATCAGGTTGGAATGCCCCGTCCTATTAGCTTACACACAAAAAAGTGAAGCCTTAGTCACTAACCAATCATGTGCACATAATACAGATAAACATACTATTAACCAGCCAGCAAACAACATACAGATCTTGTAGATCACTATGCATAACATCATCCTACCTATCAGGATTCCAATCTAATAGATCACTATCATGTAACATCATGAATAACAAGATACCAATCCACAAGGTTTGACATTAGTGCCTTCGACCCACAAGTACAGTGATCAAAATTCACCTCACAATGTCGAACCACACTGAAAACCTATGACTGCTGGTTCACGAAAATCTCGAACTATTACAACTAAACAAACATCCAATTAAAAATTGGATTACATTCCTTGACCAAGGATCCATACTTAGGGTAAATGTACACTTTAACCTTTCCCCAATTGGGCCAAGGCCCAAGTCCAGCTTTGATCCAAAAGACCTAAATTACTTCAAGACTTATAATTGGCCTAATTTTCCAAATTAGGATCAACCCCATATTGGGCCTTATCCTAAGATCCAACTCTCTAACTGGCCTAAAACACTCATACTGAGAAAGTCCAATGAGGGCCTAAGTCATTCAATCCTAAAAGGTAGCTGAAAACTCGAAGCCCAAACTCAAAAATCCATAGAAGATGTACGTTGGGCATACATCAGAGGTACGCAGGGCGTATGCGAGATTTGCATTGCCCACCATCCGGGTGGCTGGCCGAGTTCGTGGGGCGTACTACTCCCTATGCGGGGGGTACCCTCTTATATCCCAAAAGTCCATTAATTGCTTAATGGCTTATGCGCATAAGTCCATATTATAGATCCATGGTCCAAATGCACCCTAGAGTCACAAAGTCTCCAACTTTATGACTTTACAAGTCCATAAGTTCTTAATACAAGGTCTTAATCCATTAATACCCTTTTTCCAAATGTACGAGACACTTCTGGCTATTGGGACCTCATTTTTATGACTAAGGACCTTACTAGGGTCTAGAAGGACAACCGAAAATGTCCAAAATCAAACATGCACAACAATGGGACTTTTAGGGACAAAAGAACATCATAAAGCTACCAAGATCAGATCTAAGCAAACCAAACATAAAGGTAGCTACTTTTTACCTTCTGCCCCCCCAAGGAGATGGTGATCCAAGATTTATAAGCTTGCTTTCCTTCCTTGATTCCTTGATGCACTTCCTTCTCCTTTAAGCACAGAAATAACACACTTTAAGCTCAAAACACTCTCTTATGGGGTTAGGGTTTGCTAAGAATGTATCAAGGACTTGGAGGCTAAAAGAGTGAGGGTAAATGATCCATAAAGGTGCTTAAATACTCTTCAAACACTACAATTTAGGGTTTCACCCAGACATTAGTACGCCTAGCGTACATATGTGTACGCCCAGTGTACTAAGGCGCGCTCTAGTACGCTTAGCGTACATACATGTACGCCCAGCATACTACTCATGCACCTAAAAATTACCATTTTGCCATTAGGGATTCTTAAGGCTACATTTTTAGACTCCAAGGACCCAAACAACATATTTAAAAACCAAAGGAAGGATTTGAACATACCTAAAAGCCTGGGATATCACAACTGAAGCCTCACATCCCAAAATTGAGGCCATCTAGTTAATTTCACTCTCAGACACAACATTACCTAAAAAATTACTTTTCTACACATTTATTTTATTGCATGAAGATGGATACAAATAATGCAACATGCTAATTAAATTACTAGCATTGTAAAAAACCACTCCCCTCTAATAATCACATCATCAATGTACATTAAATGTAAAGTCATAAAACTATTAGACCCTATGGAAGCGCCTCTGAATAATGCAATAAATAAAGCTTTCCAAATGGATCCATTTAAACCATCCATGGCAAGAATAAAAAGAGAAGGAGACATAGGATCACCTTGATGAAGGCCTCTACAAATCTCAAATTCCAGGCGTTGGAGAGCCATTAAACAAACTCGAAGCACAATCATTCATAAGACAATAGCCAATCCATATTCTCCATTTACAACCTAACCCCATTGCGGCCATAACCAGATCTAAAAAGATCAACCTCAAAGATTCATAATCTTTCTCGCAGTCAAATTTGAACACTAACAAACTCTTGTTCCATTTTTGACACCACTCTATAAATTCATTAAGAACCATAAGACCATCCATAATATTCCTGCCTTTTACAAAAGTACACTGCTTAGAGCCAATACACCTACCAATAACCAAACTTAGACAATTATCCAACAGTTTTCCAATGATTTTATACTAAAAAACTATTAGACTAATAGGTCTAAAATAAAAAAAATAAATAAAAAAAACTTTGCGGAAGTAACTTTTGGAATCAAGGCTATGAAATATGAGTTACACCTATTAGGAAACTAAGCAGTGGAAAAAAATCTTCAATGAAAGGAACAACAATTCCAAAACCACAACATCACCCATCCCCACAACAATTCTGATCTCATCCATTCCACCTTTACCCTTAACTACCCCAAAAACAACCACTGTTCAAACCTCACTACCCACTCTTTCAGCTCCACTTTCACCAACAATGTTTACAGAATCCTCGATACGTACAACCTCAACTGTCTCAACTCCACCAGAAGTCCCTGTATTAAAATCCATTTCGGAAGAGATACACACTTCAAGCATTCCTATCAATGCATCTGATGTGGGGGAAAATGTCAATATTGGTGCGACTTCCAAACCAGGCACATCAACTGCTTCTCCTTTCAACAAGGATATAGAGATCTTGTTCGGAGACGATCAAGAAACTTTTAGAGATTTTGTCTTTAGCCTATTCACTATCAATATCAGCAGTGACGATGATGAATATCCAATTTTGAAGGTTCGGTTCAAGCAGTTGAAGGCGAAGCTTGACTCAATCCTAGAGCATTCCAACGCATTCTCTTCAACAAAGTGGGAGAATCGGCTCACCACTCACAGGGCCACTGTTGAGATGGTCACTACCACAAATGTGAAAGTCATTGAAAAATCCTCAAAGGCCATCCATGATTCTGAAAAGAGGATTTCTGAAGCGGATAGAAACGTTGAAAAACTACATCTAGAGGTGAAATAATTCATGATTCATTTCCAAATATCCTTTGACAAAAACACAACTGACATGAATAAGGTGATAGAAAGACTTTATTCATCATTGAAGGCCGAGAAAGAAGCTCTATCAAAGCTACATGCCAAAATCAAGCTTGACAATGTTGATATCAATTTGTCCAACTAAGCATAGATCACAAAGTTACAATCAGATTTAGACATTGAAAATAAGATCATGGATGACTTGGCTGAGAAAACTCAGAAAATGAAAGTTCTTTTTGAAAGTTTAAGAATGCCAAAACTTCCATTGAAAAGCTTGAAGCAGAAAAATCTTTAGTGAAAGGCTGTGTTTCAGATATCAACCACAGACCGTTGCACATCATCAAGTCTCGTGACTCTTTATTCACTATTTTAGTGCATCAGTCTATCTCAGAAAATCTCCAACCTGTGATCGCGTTCTTCCGTCAGATATACGGTGTTTCAGGAAGCGGGGCTTCTGCGAAACAAAGGGGGACAAGGAAGAAAATATCAAAATAGAAATTGATCAGAAGGATAATGAAGCTTCTAGTTTAGGTAAACACAAAGGCCAATGCATTTATGAAGATAACAACGATGAAAATCCAATGATGTATGAATCCGAAAGGATGGCTAAGGAGCAAAGAGACAAAGAGCTTGATGAACTCATTGCTCTTCGGAAAAAATTCGAGGCAGAAGAAGCTAAAGTAAAGAATGTGAAACTAGTCCTTGAAACTCATAAATCTTTGTTTCTAGCTTGGTCTCATGAGCATATACAGAAAGAAGCCATAGATGATCCGAATCTCTACTGGTTGGAGCCAACAATCTCATTCGACTTAAATAATGATGTGGAATGTCAACTTGATATTCACATCAGTACAAGGGCATTTCTATTTCATTGTTTCAAAAAGATTGAGAAATTCATGATCTCTGATAGCACAGTAAATCGAAAGCTCTTTTTGTTATACTTGAAATATGCAAAACCGCACTATGAGACATGGAGCTTAAATAGAATCATGGAGTTAAAGGTTGGATTGCTGATTCAGACTGAAGACTTCTTGAATATCCAATTTAAAGGATTTCGAGGTGCCAATCACATGCTTCATGAGTTCACATTGGCTGATTTTCCATTCATGGACCCCTATGATTGGTTACCTCTATTCTAAATTGTGGTGAAGGATGTTCAGAAATATAAGCCTACTATTGAACACTTGAAGCGGATGATCAAGTGTTATATTCTTGAAATTGCGAAGATAGATGTTGAGATCACATCTATTCTGAAGAAGATGCCCATTCTGAAGCCAGAAGAACAACCCAAAGACGTCCAACACTTGAAGACAGGGATTATTCAAAAGAAGCATTGGAGAATTGTTTACAAGAGAAAGGAAGGTGAAGTGGTTCAGAACTGCATGTTCTTTTTAATGGACAAACACCTATACTCATCATCGGCTCTCAAAACAATCTTATCCTCTACTGAAGCTCACAAAGCCAATTTTTTTGGTGATGTAAAATGTGTTTCAAATATGATATGTTGGTATCTATCATTTTGAGGCTCACTTCAGAAGATTATGCCAAATATCCTTGTTGCCAAGAGACAATAAAGAAGTCCTCCTTCTGATTTGACACAAAGGGGGAGATTGTTAAGTGCCTATATTTGTTGTCTCAAATGTTTGTGTTCGAAATTCTTGTGTACATATTCTGATTCTGAAATGGGCATGTCCATCTTTGGTTTATTAGCTTAGCCTCTCTATAAATAGTGCACTGTATTGTCTCATTAGCATCAATATTTTTGTAATCGTCAAGCACTCATAGAATAGTTTTAAATTATGAGTTGTTCCTTTTGCTTTGTTATTGAAGATTGAGCTTATTACTTTCCATATCATTTTTTTTAACTATTTTGTTTTTAGCATTTAATATTGAGTATAGAATCTATCGGTCATATCACATCAGCCTCTATAGTCGACCAAAAAGCCTTAAAAAAGAAAAAGTAAATTCATTAAGACTTGAATACGATAATTACCATAATCCTAAACTGCACGTTTAATTTCAACACGATAAAAGTGAACTTTTATGATATCGGCTTGCACAGAAGAAAAACAATTAGGTAAGCTTGGATCTCACCAAACCCGAGCACCCTCCGTAGGAGAAAATCATTGTCTAAAATGATCATAAAATTTGGATTTAGTCAAGTTTGGGTCCTTCATCCAATTGTTATATTTCATAACAAATTTGATTGCCCTAAGCCATTGTTTTTTCTTTAGAATTGTAACAATCAAAAAATCAGAATAATTTTAAATTTTCAAAAAAAGTCAACCATATATCATCATCGTTTACAAAATAGTCCTTGTTTCAAAAGTATTATTTCAAATCAAAGTTTTTCCCCAAGATCCAGTGTCAAATTACATAACTATGTACGATCACGCATTCGCCTTCCCACGATCATCGGATGTACCTAAACCATAAACTAAAACTGTAAGTCAACGCTTAGTGAGTTTCCCTTAAGTAACCCACACAACATATAATCTAACAGATAGAAAATCTACAACCTCCTGGTTGAATTACTCCTGGCCCACAACCTTACAATTGTAAGGTCCTAGCCCACAACCTTACGGTTGGAATGCCCAATACATAACGGGTCCACATCCTCCTGGTTGGATTACCCCAGGGCCACAATCTTCCGATTGGAATGCTCTAGCCCATAACCTTATGGTTGGAATGCCTCGGTCTGTTGACTTACATCACAAAGTAGTATAGTCTCAATCCTACTATACCATGTCGACATGCTCATAACAAATAACGTATATCCAACAACAGGTAATCTTATAACCAATTATCAGAATATCAAGCAGATCTATAGATCATTATTGTATAGAAACATCCTATATACCATGATACATAACCAAACGGGTCAGCTTTGGTGCCATCGACCTATAAGAACAGTGAAGAAACTCACCTCACAGTTTGACGAATAGCTAAAAAATACGCTGCTCCAAATACCAGCACTACATGTCACCTATTCAACAGATAGAGACAAGGGCTTAAATATAGCTCAAAATACCCAAAATACCCTTAAGTTAAACTTGTTCAACCCTGGTCAAAGTCAAATTCAAAGTCAACATGTCAAGGTGTCAATCTTGGTCTACTCAACCAAGTATGCGGGGCGTACTCAACTCATACGTTGGGTGTACTCGAGCTTTGACTAGAGTTAGAGGATTGACGACGTACATACAGTGTACGCTGAGGTACACATGGCATATGCTCAAGACATCCTTTTCTGAATAAGATCTTAATGCATTAAGCTCTCATGTCCAAACTTCAGATCCACGGGTAAAATACCACTAAGATTCATAAAGTTTGCAACTTTATGACTTTGCATGCCCATTAAGTGATTAATACATAAAATCCTAACTTCTTAATGCCTTAAGACCTTATAACATGCATGGAGAAAAACTAAGCGTCAAAACAATATTTTTATGATTCAAGACCCCTCATAAGGTCTGAAAGGATGACTTATTTGGTTAAGAGCATGTCAGGCTCAGGAATAACCATATTAGGACCAAAAGTGTCATAAATGAAGAAATTGCAAGATCTACAAAATGGGGTGATCAAGTTATGAGCTTTTTATCTCCTGGAGGTTGCTAGCAAGGAGATAATATCATATCCAAGTTTCTTCCAAGCTCCAAGTCCTTCTCACCACCTTATTCTTCTTCTTCAAGAATGTCGCAAAACACAAACATAAGATTAAGATGCACTATTCACACTTAGGGTTAGTGAGGGGTCATTTTTCTCGAATAGAGGCTGATAAGGAAATGAGAAATGAGAGATAATGATGCTTATATATGGATAAAACCGTAAAAATTATGGTTTAGGGATTTACCATGTACGCCCAGCGTACTAGGGTCCACCCAAGTATGCCTAGCGTACACAGTGTACCCTCAATGTACTAATCTCTTGGCCAAAACTACCAAAATGCCACTATTAGCCATTCTTGCAATCTTTCTCAAACCCATGGATTAAAATGAAATATTCTTTCATACATAAGGTTAAAATTGAAAATAACTCATCATCGGGATGTTACAAATCTCCCCACACTTGAACTAGACTTCGTCCTCGAAGTCAGCTGCTGCGAATAACTTAGGATAATGCTCATGCATCTCCACCTTTGGCTCCCAGGTCCACTCGGAGCCTTTTTAATGTTTCCATTGAACCTTTACCAAATGTATCTCTTTGTTGCGCAAAACCTCCATCTTTCTCTCCATTATCGCTACTGCACTCTCAATATAAGTCAGACGTTCATCGACCTGAAGATTGTTCAAAGGGACCACTTCCTCGTCGTCCAACACGTACTTCCGCAACTGCGAAACAGGGAAAGTGTAGTGGATTTGGGTGAGCTCAGTCGACAAATCCAACCGGTAGGCCACCCTACTACCCTGGCGTTCACACGAAATGGTCCAATATACCGGGGACCCAATTTCCCCTCTTCTTGAAGCGTTTCACACTTTTCTAGGGTGGGACCTTCAGTACTACTATATCGTCGACCTGAAACTCTAACCCTGATCGACGCCGATCAACATAACTCTTCAACCGTCTCTGGGCTGTCTGTAGTGCCTGCCTAATCTGTTGGATAAGCTCTATGGTCTAGAGGGCTACTTTAGTCCTTCCCATGACTCTATGACCAACCTCTCCCCAACAAATTTGAGTATAACATTTCCAACCATACAAGAGCTCAAAAGGCAGGGCACCAATGCTGGAGTGATAGTTATTGTTGTAGGAAAACTCCATAAGAGGTAGGTAGGAATCCCAACTGACACCGTATTCTATGACAAAATCCCGCAACATATCCCCAAGAGTCTAAATGGTCCGCTCACTTTTTCATCGGTATGCGGATGATTAGCAGTGCTGAAATGTAGCCTCGTACCCAGTTCCTCGTGGAACATCTCCCATAGTCAAGGGGTGGACCGAACATCTCAGTCTGATACAATGGAGACCAGAACCCCATGATGAGCAACAATCTCCATGACATACACACCGACCAACTTTTCAGCCGTGGAGCTCTCCTGGATGGCCAAAAAGTGGGTACTCTTAGTCAATCGATCCACGATGACCAATATCGCATCAAAACCCTTAACAGTCTTCGGTAGCTTAGAGATAAAATGCATGGTGATCTATTCCCACTTCCACATGTGAACCTCCAAAGGTTGCAGCTTGCCATGCAGCCTCTAATTCTCGGCCTTGGCTATCTTATAGGTCAAGCACCTCTCAACATACTAGGCTATCTCGCTCTTCATACACGGCCACCAGTAACTTAGTCTCAAATCCTGATACATCTTGGTGGCTTCTGGGTGTTTTGAAAACCAAGACTTATGAGCCTCCTCCAAAACCATCTGTGTAATCCCAATAGAAACCGGAACCCAAACCCGTCTACATCGGGTCAACAATCCCCGACTATCGGTGATAAATATGTCAATCTTTCCCCTGATCCTCTCCTGCTTCTAGTTCTCCTTGTTGACTCCTTCTGCTATGCCCCTCTGATCATATCCAAAAGTAGAGAATCAATGTATATCCTCATACACATATCCCCAACTGAAGATCCAGGAAACTTCCGTCTCAAGGAATCCGCGAGCACATTTGCTTTACCCGGATGGTAAATGATCTCATAGTCATAAACATTGACCATATCCAGCCACCTATGCTACTTGATGTTTAGATTCGGTTGGTCTATAAGATATCACAAACTCTTGTGATCCATGTAAACAGTACAACAGACCCCATATAGATAATGTCTCCAAATCTTGAGGGCAAATATCATTGCCTCCAACTCCAGTTTATGAGTAGGATATTGTGCCTCATACGAATTCAGTTGTCGAGAATCATATGCAATCACGCGTCCCCTCTACATAAGATCCGCCCCAAACTAGTGATGGATGCATCACAAAACACCACAAAATCCTTGACACCCTCCAAAAGGGTCAATACCGAGGCCTCACATAACCTCTGCCACAGTGTCTCAAATGTCGTTTGCTGCTCAGGGCTCCATCGGAAATCCACTCCCTTCTTCGTCAGACGAGTAAGGCGTACAACGATATTGGAGAAATCTTGGATAAACCTACGATAAGATTCTAGTAAACCCAAGAAACTCTTGATCTCTGAGGGAGATTTCGAAACCTCCCACTGCATCGCGGCCTCAATCTTATCTGAATCGAACAAAATTCCATTATGGTTAACAAGATGTCCCAGGAATTGGACCTCTCGTAATCAAAACTCACACGTTGAGAAATTCGTATATAATCATTCTCACCTCAATACTCCAAAAGCTCTAGAATGTGTCCCTCATGCTGCTTTCTGGTCTTGGAATACACCAAGATAACATGAATAAAAACAATAACTGATCAATCAAGCATCTACATGCATACCCGATTCATCAAATCTATAAACACTGCAGGTGCATTAGTGAGCCCAAATGGCATCACCATGAACTCATAATGCCCATAACGAGTCTAAAATGATGTCTTCTCCATATCCTCCTCTTTCACCCTTACCTGATGATATC